TAGGGAAATCTATCGACGTTAGCCACGACGTCCTCATTCCTGAGATAAATTAAATCAAGCCAGAACTAGCGACTAGACTTGCCATCCATCTTCACCACAAAGCACTTGCCTCTACGGTGGTGAAGGTTCAACATCACCCGCTATAGAAGTTAGGGGCGAATAGGTGCACCAAATGCCGTATTGTTACCTCGACCCCGGCGAGCTCAGCAAATTTGGTCAACATCTTGATGATCTTGTAAACGTAAGGGGCGAGCTGAGCGGGGCAGACGCCCTAGTGGAAAACCTCATCCACCAGCGGAAGAAGAGGAAATGAGTAACCGATAGTGAATATGTAAGAGTATAGAGCGCAGTATCTAGGGCGATGAACATGTACTTCGTCCCCCTTAGCAGGGATCAGTTCGATATGGTTGGGGAGGCCGAACATAGCTTTAAATTCAGCCAAATGTTTGGGTGCCATTGTCGACAGGAGTTTTCCAGGCACCGTATTCGGTGATAATTGGAAATCAGACCTGGGTTCAGGATTCCGGGGGATGATCTCCTCCACCGATGAAAAAGTTTTATAATCTATGGTGACAGCTACATTCTCCCCATGAGCAGGGAACACCACTGCCAACGGAACGGCGTGACTCCCTTCACCAACATCAGATGGTAAATTTGATATGTTTATGAGAAAGTGAAGAAGAGTACTGGGAAGAAAGTTTGGGATATGGTATAGAGCTATAAAGCAAAGATGAGAGGTTCAGAGAGGAAGTTTGAAGTCTCAAAGTTGGCAAGAATAAAAGTTTCAAATCTAGGTTTGGCCATCCTTATTTATAGAGATTGAGGCGCCAAACTCGAAATGGTTTGTCATAATGAGAACCAAACCCAAAAGGACTCATTATAATTGGCATCGGAATCAAAACGGTAGATCTAATCAAAGGTCAAGCGCGAATTGATGCAATCTGTCGGGAACAAGCATCATCATGACGCATGACATCATGACGTCACTCCCTCTCTTGGACCAGATGGTTCCAACAAAATCACTCGAAAAATTTAAGGAATTTGAAATATACGGCCCACGGAGAGCCAAGTCGCCTGCTTGTGACAACGACCACGACTCATGTTATCTGTTCGGCAAGCTCGACCACGAGGACGACCATGAATGATATTATCCGCTTATTGAACTCGCCGGCGAAGACGACCTCAACAAGCGGAGGGACTAACTATATGGGCCAAAATTATCCTAGTTATATTTAGGCCACGTTAGCACTGGGAGACTCTTCGAAGGCTGCCACGTGTCATCAGTATGATTTTAACAAGAGACAGATTCAAGGCCAAAGTGATCTGACGAAATATAGGGGCGAGGTGACGAGCTCAACAGAGATCGAGTTCGAGTACGAGCACTCTCCTTAACAGAACAGTACCAGCTAGTTTTGTTGATATGACTTTAAAGAGAATATTCCTAGGATCTGTACTATTAGGTGTTTTATGGCACATGTCTCCTTATAAATAGAAAAGACATAGTTAAAGGGGGAATTGAACACTCATTTATAAAAGAACACTTTGACAATCTCTAGTGATTCTTGCTTTATTATATACATACAAAAAATACATTTTTCTTTAGATCCTTGTCTAGTCTTTCTCCCACGATCCAAGGGGAATCTGAATATTCAAAGTCTCATCAATTATTTATTATTGTCAAGAGGAACATTACACGATTCCATACCCTTTTTCGGTCATACTGGTTACACTTATTTACATAAATATCATTATACGCCATTTATTGCCATTTAATGCTTTCTACTTCGTATTTATGCCATTAAGTGTTGTTCATTGTCATATATTCACCACTGTTATCACAGATCTTGTAACATTTTGACACAATAGCTAAATAATCTAGTAGATATTATTATTGGCTAAGATTAACCCTATCTTGTTAAGAAAATCTAATTGTTTAAACCTAGATCTAAATTTTGGTCAAGAAAAAATCCCATGTAAAAATTATAAAATTTATTTTAGAAAATATTTTCTCACACTAAACACACCGTAGTTCTGTTCCACGATTCCATATTAGTGTGAAATCTCTATCTTGCCATTCCATTATGTTAGATAGAGGTGTTCAAACCGAACCGGAAAATCACACCAAATCGAAAAGTCAAATCAAACCGATTAAAAAATTCGACTAGATTTGGTTTGATTTGGTTTGGTATTGAGTAAAAAAATTTGAACCAAACCGACATATAAATATATAATTTTTATATATACTTTTAAGACTTTATATTGAATTTTCTTTAAAAAAATATAGAATATTTGAGATCCTCTCATGAGATGTAATATTTAATAGAACTATAAAGTGTATTTATTTTTATTTACTATAAATAATGAGTTGTATCGTTTTCGTATTAACTGTTACTGAAATGCGTTAATCATCTCTTTGTTCTTCCATATTTATATGTCAAGATTTCTTATATCTTTTTCGAATTTGATTTAGAATTAAACAGAATATATCATTATTAGGTATCATCTTGATTTTTATGTCTAATTATTAAATTCAATTAACCTTGAAAGCGTACATTAACAAAAAAAATTATTGTTAGACAACTAAGAAAATAACTATCATGTGTTACTAAGAAAATTCTCCCATAAGAATATTTTAATAGACATATGTTATTCAAGTTTTTAAATTTTTACTAAACATATATTCACTTATCAAAACTTTATCTATAACTTTAACAAAGTAAAATTGAAAAATATTCATGTAACTCAAAAATCCCAAAAATTCGAAAAATCCGACAAAACCGAACCAATCCAAACCGATGTAGTTGATTTGGTTAGATTTTGATAAAAACCGAACCAACCCGATCCATGTACGCCACTAATGTTAGATAGTGTTAAAACATTCTTCAATAAATATACGAAAAAGACAAACATCAAAGAGAATTCCATGCAATTAAATCTTCACTAATAGGAACTTCTCATTGGGGCCACTCTAAAAGCGATAGAAACATATTCCCTCTCTTTACTTCAAATTCAATTATAGTAACATAATATCCATTTTTTGAGGCAATCGTTTTGTTTTCTTTTTCTTTTTCTTGTGGTTTAATTACGTTTTTCTCTTTATAGCTATTTGCTAGTAAATCAAAGGAAGTTGTTTTAGTTTAGTGCAAAGAATGTTTAAGTTTTGCGCCTGCGGTATACATGTGTATGGAGCAATAGACAAAGAAATTGTAGTTGACTCAAGGCAGATGCGTTTGACTTTTTCTTGAAGAAACTTTTTAATAAAAAGTTGTTTAAAACAAAAACAACTTTGCGTAGTTGTTCCTTTTTTTTCTTTTTTCCATTTGAGTTTGTTTACTCGAAAAACAGATAGAGTTGAATTTATACGTAGTCCTAATGATACGTGGTATAACTTGGTACAAACCGGAAAAATAAGTAGAGAAATATCGAATATTAACTGTAAAAAAGAATTAAAACAAACCGAAATTGAGTGGAGAATGATATTTATATGAACAAGATGATCCAATGTACAAAGCCCAAAAAAGGATAATCTTTACTATATGTGTGTAAATCTCAATAATTTCTTAATATGAGAGTGTATCTATGTTTGCTTCTCTGGATGTACGATATGTTCCTTACAGAAATGATACCAACTCTTAATATAGTGGAAAAATTCTACTTTGAATATAATAAAAAATACATAGTGGGGATCCCATGATAGATTAGTTAATTAACTTTTCCTTAATTCCTGCCAAGATTCTCTCCCTAAGTGCGGCTACAACGGCTCTTTGTCTCTTAGCTCGATCTTGGTCGGTCTTGGTATTGGTCGATCTCCGGATCTCGAGCTCGATATTGACTCGAGCTCGATATTGACTCAGACTCGGTATTGATCGGTCTCTGGCTCTTGTGCTCGATAACACTACTTCATATCATAACTCGATATTGACTCGAGCTCGGTGTTGATCGGTCCCTGAATCTTGAGCTCAATAACATGGCTTTACTTCTTATCTCAATGTTGCAACGACAACTCTCGGTTTATCACGTTCCAATCTTTAATAATTACACGAAGGACAAATTCGGATTTCACCGTATACCGAGATCTTGCGAGAACTCCCAAATTTTCAACCAATACAAATTTCTGACATTGAGAATACTTTTCGAGAAAAAGTAGGCAAACAAGTTTTCTGAAATTTTACGTGACAACTTATTTGACAACATTACAAGAGAAATAGCTTACTTAATAATTGCTTGTTCAAATGTTGAATGCTCCTCTCTCCAACTTAAATGCCAGTTGATTCCATTCTCTCTGAAGTTAAATAGCCAAACTGGTAGCAGACCCCACAATTAAAGCCACCAAACCTAGCCGTAGACATCTTTCATTTATGTCAAGACCAACCCCAGCAATAAATTTTAACTCAAAATGGGAAAAACATGTGTATATTCCAATTTATATGATTTGTCAAATTAACGATTATGAAAATGATGTCTAATATTTTTACTCCACCTTTTTAAGAGGACTCCATTCCATTGATATATGACCTTTGGATTCATAAGTAGGGGGTAAGGAGGAGCACGTAGGAATGTCAACCACTTCATAATGTCAACCACTTCATAAGCCACTAGTAGCTAAGATAAAGAAAACAACACCTTGTATAGGTTTGGCGGAGCTCAAAGAAGCAAGCCCCTATTAGAGAAATTCAGCGCTAGCCTAGCTAGCTAACGTTTTCCAGCTGGCTGTGTTATGTTAGTTGTAGCGTGTTTTTCCTCCTCTTACTTTGGAAAGATTTTTCAGCATTTTCTTATGAAGACATGGTCAAGAGAGTACAATACATCAGCGTAAATGATTTACTTTTTACGGGAAAAATAACTTAAAAATTGTGCTGCTTACATCGTGAAATATTTGTTTACTTCCCTTTATCGATCTACAATGGTATAGTATCTACTTGTCTAGAATGCGTTTCCTTTTCTGTACATTGGATTACTAATATTGATTATGTAGGTCTGGGTGCTTAGAAAACTTCATGTACTATCATACTTAAACATTATTTTAGGAGCGATCGAACTATATATGGAATTATCGAAGAACTGAATTAAACATAGGGATTGCTTTTTAAAGCATTGAAGATGCACAACATAATACACTGTTTAAGCCGTACACTAGGAGTTGCTATTATAGACAAGTGAAGTATGGTTAGCTTGCAGCTGATGCAACACTCACTGGCACAGGCATTATGGAGCGTCCAATATTATCATTAACATGGGATGGCAAATCGTCAAAGCCCCAAAATTTAGCAGTTTTAACATCTTCCTTAGCCATCAATCTGGAAAATTCTTCATGATCGTAATGCAATGTGGCTTTTCCCCCAAACTCTCTTGGAAGGTTTTCAGCATCGAAAAATATCTTCATCAACTCCGTGCTCTCTTTGTTATTCGGATACACAAACTTTATCTTCGCAAATGTTTTTGCATCAATAAAGTACTTTACAACCTGCAGAGCAGTGAACAATTGGGATCAGTGATGGATCGCTTTGGAGTTTAAAAATCTGTGGGATCAGCCACTGATACATTAAATGAAGAGGGAAGAATCAAACCTTCCAAAATGCCTCGAAAAATCTAGGAGGACTATACAGAACAACTATAGCAAGCCTCTCGGGGTAATGATTCTGCAAAAGGTAAATGACATCGCGTGCAATTTTAATGGAAATGTTGGTGTTTAATGAGCATCCGCTGAAGTCAATCAACCAACACATTTGTTCTTGGCCTTCTGGTAGGTTAAGGATTGCATTCTCCAACAGATAGACTAGATGACGAACGTTACCTTCTGGAGATGATGTATTCTGTTATCGATTAAGCAGAACAATGAGAATATTAACCATTTGATATCAGACATAGAATGGATTTTATTTAAAGGTAAGATATCAAGAGTACTTAACCTGTTTCCCAGGCCTCATTATAAGTACGGTTCCCCCTAGTCGGTCACAGAAATTGGCTTTGGAAACTTTGCCAGTTTCACCTTCATGTGCTACTTCATGCTGATAAAGTGCAACATCGTCATTTCAGAATCATCTTCCAACTTCCAAGATTATACCAAAGTAAAGTTGATGAAAGAAAAACACAGAAACAAAGTTGTTCTAGTAATACTTAGTGCAGCAATAATCAAAACCATATTGTCCAATAAACTGCAGGGAGATTCACTGAACTATAATGATAAAGATAGATGTAATTTCACCATTTTGATACACTCTTTAATGTTGGAATTGCAGGGATTAGGGGCATCATTCACTCCCTCAACCATTGATAGCAGTGTTCTAAACATCCTTTAACATTTTTTGGTGCAACAGAAAGCAACCAACAAAAATTTGAATCTTAAACTAAATCAGCTTTATGATGTGTATATTCTACAGACCGAAAGTAAACACTTGCTGGAATCAAGCAACTCTTTCATAGTTTTTTAAGATATTACATTATTATCCCAATTATTTTAAATGGTACTAACTGTGACCTCGCATAGTTTGGACGACAAAGTTGGGAATACAAGAAATTAGAGATGGCAAAGGGCAAAGAGCACTCTGATTTGCAGTACAGACAAGACTTACCCAACGAATTTCTTCTGGTTTATAGGTAGATCTCCACTTGAGAGTCTCTTCCAGCATTTTCTTTGCCTTGTCAAGTTTCCAATTTCGAGCTTCTAAGTGTCGCCTCAGACACGCATCGGTGCAGAACTTTAAACTACGTCCAGATAGAGGTCCAAGAGCTGCCCTTAACTCGCAAACCTGTTTTGACTAAGAAAATTAGTTCCTGTTCTATAATTCCAGAGTACTAACTACGTCACTGACACTACTAATTCAGCTAGAAATTTTAAGATGGAACTTTAGCCTAGTAACAGAGTACTGGTTAGTTTAACTCGTAAACGTTCTATCTTTATAATATGTCGTAAGGTTAATTTGAAGGATATTGGAAAGTAAACAAGCCAGAAAAGAAATCACAAACAAGCACGATTGTTTATTTTCTGAGAATTTGCCTGTTACCTTTGCATCACGGTTAGCAGAATCATTTGCCTCATTCGTGGGGCAAAGCTTTCTCCGAAACATGGTTCCTGAATATTAAGTAAATGATTTATACGTAAGCTCTGAATTCCTGCTTCATCGTTATTAAGAAAAATTTTAAGAGTAGTAAATCAAGAGTATCCTCAAATGTCAACTTTCCGCAATTTTTTATAGGTTACCAAGGGATTTCCATTTATGGCGAAAACAAGAATAAATAGGAATTAGTTCAAGAGAAATGGTTACCTTTCTTGAAATGGGGCTAGGAATTAGATGTAGAAAGTTTTGCACTTGAAAGCTTTCCTGAAAGAGAGAAAGGCAGATAGGAGGAATACTTGTGATTCGCTTGGTCTCTTTCTATGCACAAAATAGCAATTAATTCTTGAACTAACATAAAGTAAATGAAAGAGACAAAACCACGCATAGTTCTAGGGAAATCACGTAAATTTGGTGATCTTTCATTTTACAAACTTTATTAAAGAGGGAGACGGCCGGACATTGGAATTTTCGCACGCTTGGGGTCTTCTCTTTTGGTCTCTAAAATGGACTATAATGTAATTATTTATAATCAACTTAAGTTACTCCTCAAAGCTAATGTGTAAAAATTTGGATGGATCTAACAAATACTTTGAAGGTAAAAACCAACTGAACTGCTGACTAAGAATTGTTGGAAAATTCAACTAAAATTTTAGTTATTTTTCCTACACATTGCTGTAATAGGACGGCTCAGATAGTTTCCTATGATATAGGTAGCATTTAATTAAAGCTTCCAAATTTAGGTAAAGAATTTTAATAATAGGTGTTTCGTGCATATTTGACTGTTGATTTTCCCGCTCTCCTTTTTTTTTTTTTTTTTTTTTGGGGTACAACTGAAGAACCCGTATAATATTTTCCAACTTCACGAATTGAAACTGAACCAAATGCGGATTGTGATTTGCCTTCAACTATTCTTTTAGAGATCATGGTGGACGTATTATAGTGTTTCATGTGTACTAACACTCAAAAATGGGTGAAATTGTAGTAGATTTCATTATGAATCAGCTATACAATATATAGAGTTACACAGATATCGGAAGATATTTACAATCCCAAAGAATATGCTAGTACAATCCTAGAGAATATGCTAATTGATTTACAATTAAAATGACTGTTTACCCGAAAAACGGATATAGTTAAATTTGTACGTAGTTCTAAGTATATGTGATATAGCTTAATACAAATCGTAATGATAAATAGAAATATCAAATATGGATTGCAAAGAATGCAAAATAAACAAGGTTGTAAAGAAGATGATTTTTAGGACTGAGCAAGATAAATCAATTTATGAAGCTTAAAAGAGTAACTCTTGAATATAGGAGAATATGGTGCTTGAATTACAATGTAAGCCAGAGAACTGTCCTCTACAGAAATGTAGTCATCCTCTTTACAGTGGAGGATCCTACTTTAGATATAATTAAAAATACATAGTGGAGAACCCATGATAAATCAGTTTTTCCCTAATTTCTTCCGAGATTCTCTCCCTTAGTATGTTTGCAACGGCTCTTGTCTGTGAGCTCGAGCTCGATCGGCCTCGGTGTTGGTCGGTATTGCTTCTAGAGCTCGATGTGGACTCGGAATCAGGTGATGATTCGGGCTCGGTATCGGTTGGCCTCTGCCCCTTAAGCTCGAAATCATCTCATCATAGTTCGATTCGGACCCCAGCTCGATAGTGACTTTGAACTCAGTATTTGACCTATACCTGTAATCTGAAGCTCGTTCATACCATCTTCGGAACCCATCTCGATATTACGAAATCTTTCTTCGATCCATTATGTTTCGACCTCGATCAATCGTACGAAGGCCGAAATCTATTTCGACCGTATACAATGACACCGATTAATTGATTACAAAATCTACTCTATGAAAGGAAAGTCAATCAATTTACATGACTTACTCTAATACTCCCCCTCAAGATGGAGCATAAATATCATGCATGCCCATCTTGACCAGTGAGTTATTAAAAGCTTGTCTGGAAACAACTCTTGAATACCTTTGACCATTGCCATGTATTCAGCTTCTGCACTAGACAATGAGACAACCTTTTGTTTTTTACTTTTCCAAGTAACCAGGTTTTCTCCAATGAAAGTGAAATAACGTCGTCTTTCTCCTCTTGCACCCCAGTCCGAATCACAATAAGCCATAATTTTGTATGGTTATGCTTAGAGAACATGAGGCCTCTTCCAGTGCTGACTTCAAGTGCCATAAGATTCTAATAACTATATTCATATGAACTTCACTTGGATTATGCATAAAGCGACTTACCACACTGACTGCATAAGCAATATCTGGTCGTGTGTGTGACAAGTATATCAAGCGTCCCACTAGTATTTGATATCTCCCTTTGTTAATAGGAACTTGATCAGGAAATTCCTCCAAGCCATGATTTTGTTCAATCGATGTATCGATATGTTGACAACCTAGCATTCCAACTTCTTTTAGCAAATCAAGAACACATTTGCGTTGAGATAAGAAAATTCCTTGTTTGGATCTTATAGCTTCAATACCCAAGAAATACTTTAATTCAACCAAATCTTTCATATCAAAGTCCGCAGATAAGCAATTCTTCAATTTAGCCATCTCATCAACATCATCACCAGTAACAATCATGTCATCAACATAGATGATAAGAACAATTAGCTTACCATTTTGTCTCTTGAAAAATAAGGTGTAATCTGCATTGCTCTGAATGTAGCCATATTTCTATTGCTAGTCGTAATCTTCCAAACCATGCTCTAGGCAATTGTTTCAAATCATACAACGGCTTCTTTAACTTGCATACCAAATTTGTATGGCCATAAGTGTCATAACCAGGATGTATGCTCATATAAATTTCTTCAGACAAATCTCCATGTAAAAAGGCACTCTTCACATCATATTGTTGCAAAGGCCAATCAAGATTAGCAGCTATAGATAATAGAACAGGAACAGTATTTAACTTTGCCACGGGCGCAAAAGTCTCCTGATAATCAATACCATAAGTTTGTGTATAGCCAACACACCACTAGCCTTGCTTTGAGCCGATCTATTGAACCATCCGGCTTGTGCTTCACTAAAAAAACCCATTTGCATCCGACGAGTTTTTTTTCCTTCTGGTAAAGACACGATATCTCATGTCTGATTTTTCTCTAGTGCTCGCATCTCCTCAGTCATGGATTCTGCCCATTTAGGATCACCCAATACTTCTTCAAACCTTGTTGGGATTTTAACAGATGATATTTGATTCACAAAGCCTTGGATAACACTTGGTAAGTGTCTACTAGAAACATAATGAGTAATAGGATATTTGACTTTCTTTGAATTATCAGGGGAGTATCTCTCTGGTGCTTTACCTCGACTGGTCCGATGAGGTAACCGATACCTGTTATCATCACTGGAAACCACTGGTGTAGTGTCATCAATAAAATTACTAGTATTTTCCTCAAAGTTAATACATACCTCAGGAACATCATCAGCATGAGGATCATTGGTGGGTATTATAGGTACTAGAGAGGAGGGCTCCTCACTTTCTTGTTGTACTGCTTGATCGAGAGTACCATGATTTGGAGTTGTTGAGACAATCTCAGTATTAGCTAAAATTATACGATTATTGTCAGGCAGTAACACCATATAATTATGCTCTTCAACTATATTCTCCCCCTGAAGAGAAGAATTAGATATCTCCTAAGAAAAATACATCTCAATTTCAGAAAAAGTAACATTCATAGTCACGTACAATCTTCTAGTGGTAGGATGATAGCATTTGTAGCCTTTCTTATGAGGCAAATACCCAATAAAGACACACCGTAATGCACATGGATCAAGCTTGGTACGTTGATATTTAGGGAGATGAACAAAAACAACACACCCAAAAATACGGAGTTCCAAGTTTAAATGAGATGTAATGTTAACCAAACTGGAGAGAAAACTTAAGGGAGTCTTAAAATGGAGAACACTACTAGGCACACTATTTATGAAATAAACATCATACAAAATAACATTCCCCATTCATGTGGGGGATTGTTGAGGTTTTATTTTTTAAGATGAAATAGTCTTAAAATGNGAATGAAGTTGAAACGCAAGTTAACAAGAAAGTAAAAATGATAAGAAGTGATAGGGGTAGTGAATATGAATCTCCTTTTGAAG